TTGTAATTTTTGTAGCATATTAGACTGAAACCGTATTCTAAGAAAGTTGTGTTGTATATCAGTGAGTAAATGATAAATAATCATCAGCAATTACCGTGCTGAATGTGAAACCCTGTTATAAAAATATATTGTTAGTCCTGCCATGTTTTCATTTTTAAGTCGGGTTAGACTGAAACCGTGTTCTATGATATATTAGTATTATACTTGTATATCACTTAGTATATGATACAGAATCATCAGTAAATGAATAAAAACATTAAATGAATATATCATGTAAATGTAAACTGAAAATGATGAAAGTAATATCGAATTTTGCGGTATGCAAATAATGCGGATGTGTCAATTGTGGACGTATTTAGTAACTTTGTGTGAAATGTAAAAGTAGTTAGGGGTCGGCTGGTTCTGGTTGTCCTGCTATTGTGCATTAGCGGTATAAATAATTCGTGCGTGTCATTTTAAACACATTTTAATGAACTAATGAACCACCGCATAAATTTATTTGCGTATTATGGCTTCGAATAAAACTGGACGAATAATAATGGTACTGTATATATATATGTGTGTGTGTAATGCAATTGAAAATAATTTATTGATACATCGCTACGCATTTTGGTTTCATTACAAACACAACATGGGGAATGGGGTAATGCGGACAAAAAAAAATGAAAACCAAACAATTGGACATCGAAATTAGGTAGCGTGATTGGATAATTATTTGTTGAGGTTGGCCAAATATGAAATTATGGAATCGCGTTTTGCAGCCGCAGCGAATATGTTATGCACGTTTTGTTTATTTCCTCTGTTTTTTTTTGGAAATAATAGGAAACGGACGGAAGATGGATTGCCCTCCTGAATTCATGCCAAGTTTTTCTGGTCCCCATAAATCATACATTTTCTAACAAACGAGATTAAAATGAAAACTACGAAATTACGAGCGCCCACACCTACAAAGATGGTAGCTATCCAAACATCTTCAAACTCTATTAATCACATTGATTCTAATCATATTTCAATTATTTAAACCAAAACGTATTTTTATATCCATATGGAACATTTGCAATTATGTAAATGTAGTATATTACTAATAAATACACAATGTGTAAAACGTCGAATACTATTAGGCATTATCTATAACGAATTTGATTTTATACATTACTAACACATTTATAATGACTTGAAACTGAAATTTGTAGTATTCGTGAAAAACAAATGTTTGTGAAGATATTATCAATTTTTCTGTAAAACTTGTCACAATTCAATTATATCACTACATCAATATATAAAAATATTACTTAAGATTTTTCAGTTGATTTTCGTGAACTAAACAGAAATATAAAATAACAAGTGCAATAATATTGAATTTTCTTAATAGAATAGATGTTTTCTTTTACAATACGACAAACAGATGTAAATATTAGTTAAATTCAAAAATGCTACCAAAATGCTAAAATGATTAATGATTATTTTATAGATATTTTTTTGTGCTTTGGATATAATTGATATTTAAGTCGATTATTTATATATAATTCTAGTAAAAAGTTATTGTTTGTTACATTGGATACAACATTTTTTTTATATTCAAACCTTTTTATTTTCAAAAACTTTCTAATTATCATCAGGGTATTATAGATGTTTCTTTGACAATACGACAGACACATGTAAATATTAGTCAAATTCAGACATTATACCGAATTGTTAAAAGTTTAGACTTGATTGAAGAAATACTTCATTTTATAGATAAGTTTAAGTGATTTTTACATAATTGATATTTAAATCGTTTGCTTTACAAATATTTTTTGCAATCGAAGATTTTTATTGTTAAAAACGTTCTAAACATCATGTGGGTATTTCTTACAGAATAAATGTAAAAAGAATGACAATTAGTTCATTTATTTTGTTATTATACTGTGTATAGGTAGTATTATTTTAATAAATCTTAGTCTAGTTAAAAAAATAATTTTAATAAAAACTATTGTTTTACAAATCATAACTTGTATAATTAATTCAAGTTATTAATTGTATGATATATAAAGTAATGTAAAACTACAAGAATTTTCCATAAGATTAATTACAACTTTTCATTTTTTTTTTAGTATAAAACAAGCTTAAATAAGTTGATATACTTTATAATTAGTTTTACATGTGTCAAACTTAAAACATTAAATAGCAATTTTAATTATTAGATATTTTTATTGCATATCTTGTATTACTCAACCAAAGTTGTTTTTAATATATTTTATACAAAATAAAATTAAATCCTATTTATATCTTTTCTCCTATTTGAAACATTGAAACCAACGTAACTGTAACCATTAAATGATTAACAATAAAATAGCTTCTATACAAAATTAATAATTAAATGTTCTTCATAAACTTGCATAAGAATACAATGTAATATAATTATAGTTCTGACGAAGATATGGGTGGTTTTGAGGGGCAGCTGTGCATTTAATATCCGAATAGTTCATTTCGAACTATGTTGAAATTTAATATAATCCGGCAATTTCATAGAAAACTAATTAAACGCCAGCTAACTCTGCCAATTAGTCTAATTCATATTTATTGTAACCCCGCGGTGGGCATAAGGGCCGATGGCTGCATCCCACCGTCCGAACACAATAAAGTTACCATCACAAAACGTGTCGATAAATTTGGATTCGTTCCACCGTGAAACCGACAAACAACGTTTTCCATGCTCAATTCCCATAAAAAAACATCATTATAATTAGCTTGTTGCTAAAGTATTATAACTTTCAGAACTTTGATCTAATTCTAATTCAAGAAGTAGTAATCATATTTGTTATAAGGATTTTCTTAACTAATTAAGCAGAATTTTGTTCAAATGCGTGTTTTATAATATTTATAGAGTTTTCTAGTTAACAAAGGAATTGATGAGGTATAGAAAGAAATGACGATGTGATAATCATATTTGTTAACAAAATTTCATGAAAACTAATTACCTAATAGATTTTTCAATTGTGTATTGTATAATATTACAAAAAATATCTTCGTTTCATACGCGGCGCCCCGAAAATTCTGATATATTAACATAAAGTTTGCCTTGAGATAGACGAACGTTTTGACTTGATATGAACTCACTATAGTGACTATAGCATGATTTCAGTTTTGATAATAGATTGGAGGAGATAGACTAAGAAATGAAGAAGTAATAACTATATTTGTTATGACAAAACTGAATTTCATATGTGTATTTCATATTATTTCAAATTTTGTCTTCTTTTTATACTACAGTACAATTTCAAGTTTGGATTTAATAAAGGAGTGGACAAGGTAGAGAAAGATAAGAAATAGTTATAACAATATTAGTTAAGAAAATTTCTTGAAAACTAGTCATCCGATAGGTTCTTCAAATGTATGTTGAATAGTATTCAAAGATTTGCTTTAGTTCTATAGTATAATACGATTTCAGTTTTTGTTTTGATAATGTAATGGACGAAGTAGAGAAATCAGTAAAGAGGTAATAACCATATTTGTTTAGCATGAAGAAATGAAGTAGTAGTAATATGCATTTTCTCCAAAAGACGAGGTCTTTAGATGTATTGATTGTGTGATATTAATACAGTGCGAATTGATATATGATACAAGTCATCCATCTAATTATTATCCATCATAGTAATTAGTTAACTTTTTTTAAGTTGTCAGATGTCAAAATATTCAAAAATTATTATACTTAGCTGCATCTTATTTCAATTTGTTCCATATATAAAATATGTACCTACCTAATTCAAGTAGACATAACTGCGATAAAGATAATATCTATATGATTTGTGCAAATAATTGGTGCATAGTGCTATATATATGATATACTGATATTGTAGTAGTAAGATATAAACCATGAAACCATATTTAGAAAATGCAATTAAAATGTAATTCTCTACGTGATTTGATTATATAATATATTACAATTATCAAATGCACATAAATATACATAATTTGTGCGAAACTATAAAGTTAAACCCAGCAGCATTCGAAAATGTTCCAATGACGAAGGTATGACATTCCAATTAAAATTATGATTTATATGAATAGCAGTTGATTAAATTAGTTATTATATAACCGATAACATCAACTTTATATCTTCGATATAGTGCATTATATATGGACGGTGTGATAACATGTACCGCCGGTACTAAATTAAACCAGTTTGCAAAGTTTAACGCACATGCATTTGATTATAATAGTAATGATGGCCATAATTTATCTTGTTTTATTTTTAATTATTGATGATTGAATTATTCAATGTTGATTGTAAATTAAGTGCTTATGTATTATGTTGAGAAATGTAGTGTACAAAGTACGTTAATTTTGTGCAATGAAGAAAATGTAATAAAAAATCCAAATTATTGATGGAAATATTCAGATATAATTGATGATTTAATATTTGGTTTGAAAAAATCTCAATTTCCTATTTTATAAGCATATTGTTCATAATATTTTTACAATTAATACTTTTAAAAATATATGTTTGTTATTTATTAAAAAAAAATAAAAAAATCTGAAATTATTTGTTTTTTTAATAAATTATTTATTTTTATATTCATTAGTTTATTCGTTCTGCAAGTTTTTTGCAATGTAGTAGATATTTTTGGAATATTCACTTACATTAACCTGAATTAATCTTTAGATAACATGATAATGATTAAATATTATACAAGGTAAACTGATTTGTTCTTAACTTGAATTTGTATTTTTTACTAAATTTTAAAGTTGTACAGGACATGATGAGTTTATTTTCTAAAAATTTCCATCGAATGATTTGTGTATAAAATAAATTAATTTGTATGTATGAAAAATGAAGATGAAATTTGTATAAAGGTATAACAAAAATCTAATTACTTCAATATTATATTTATATTATAAAAAATAATAATAATAACAACATTACATTTTCCAGTTTTATATAGAATAATAATAATAAAAACATTAATTAACATGTGTATTTTGTCTTTTATTTTCTATGTTTTTAATATTACTTATATCTATTGGTCGTCGTTAATCATGCTGGGTAAAAATAGTATGAAATTACTCACGTCATGTTCATCCTCCTCTTGTTCCCTTTGCTGGTTGGGTTTGGTAGCTCGGTTTGGGATAGCCCTAAGCGGTTTGCTAGTTGGTTGTTGGTAAGCTTGTTCATACTGTAACTGGTATTGTTGCGGTTGCACGGATTGTACCGGTACATACTGCTGCTGCTGTTGGATAGGTTCGCTGTTATCTGCCAGATATTGTTGTTGGACAGCACCGATATTTTGCCTCGCAATTTGTTGTCGAGCCACATTTTGCGCCCTCATCAGTTGCCAATTGGCCCTTCTTTGCGAATTGGCAATGACCTCATTCGCAAGTCCTTGCTGCTGGGCGATCTGTACTTGCTGGGCGTATTGAGGTCCTGCAATCTGCTCAGCAGCCTTCTGAACCTGCAACATAAAAGACACACAAAAATTACAATTCATTTTTTTTTTAAATACAAATCATATATTATTTAGACTGTAATAAAAATAGTGATTAATATTTTCAATAACGTGCAAATTCATTAAAATTTCAGGACCCGTAATATTTATGATTTATCAAAATTAAATTATATTTTGACTGCGTTCGTGCTGTTATTTTTTTTGTATATGGTTTCTCGTTTTATTCATGCTTTATATTTATATTTTTTTCATTTGTTGGAAGCTTTTGATGAATTGAAATATTATTTCAGAATACTGCAGCCGAATGTATTAAAACCATATGTTTTCATTTTGTACATGCATTTATACAAATGCAATTACATGCACGATGCAAAAATAATAATAATAAAAGTAATTATATAAAAATATTTTGAACGTAGGAAAATGCTCAAAATAAATTTTCATTAATTAAATAATTTAAATAATTACTTTTTTATTTTCATTAGAGAAATTAAAACATCAATGAAATACTAACATTCGTTCTTCTTTGGTTTGTATTGGCTTTTATTTCTATTGCGAAGAATTACAACTTCAAGTTTGCCAATTGCAATAACTTTTCTTGTATTTCAAACACTTATGACAAATGTCATAAGCTTTATCATCTATAATAAAATCAAAATATTTTTTGAGATTATCAAATTTTTATTCAAAATAAAGAAAAACAGAAATCAATTATTATTTAATAGTTGAAAGTTTTGTATTTTCTTATAAATATCAAAGAGGCATTTTTTTTAGAAAAACTTAATTGAATATTTGTATTTCGTTGTAAATATAGATATCTATTTTATTACAGAAATAATTGTTACAAGAATTTTATTGAAAATTAACAGAAATATAAGATTTTTAAAAGTCTATATAAATGTAGACAATTTGTTGTAAATATAGAAAAAATATTTTTTCAGAAAAATTGTGAAAAAGATTTAATTGAAAATTAACTGAAATATATTCAAGGTTTTAAAGAAAGTGTAATTTTACACACATGTTGAGATTTTAAAAATTTTATATAAATTTAGACTAGAGGATTATGTATTAAATTTGTAAGTTTTATATTTTGATGTAAAGATAGACAAAAAAAATGTTTCAAGGATTTGATTGAAAATTAACTGAAATATATTCAAGGTTTCGAAGAAAGTGTATGTGAAGGGAATTTATAATGTTGAGGACCAAGGACACGTGATAATAGTAAGGACAATATAAGAGGCCATGGGAATGGAAAGATTAACTTAAAGAGCAAAGAGAAGATGAATGTACCAAACAAAACAAAAGATCTTCAAGAAACTGGGTAATTCAGAAAGTCCAAGTGAATGGAAAATAAACCACAAATTAACTTATACCAGGAAGGTATTTTATAAAATTATTAAGGAAATGTAGTTTTGTAAAATTCTATTTTCATAATTTTTTCTATTACAAAGAATAATTATATTTCTAATTTATTTGATGAATTAATATTTATTTATAATTAATATATGTATTTTGTTATAATAGTTAATGTAAAAAAGTAAAAACAATAGCAATATATGAAGTGTATATAATTTTAAGTGTTAATTGCAAATGATTCAAATTAGAATCAATAAATAAAATTGTAAATAAATAAATATTTTAAATATAAAATTAAATTGAATTAACAATAATTTCGTCAATATTTTAATTTGCTTTGTACAATTATTGGATTTCAATTATTAAATGATTACCAACAAATGACAATCAAAATACCGACGGAATAATTTCTATCTAATTTGACGCAATTACATCCGATTACATCAAAGGATTTCAGCACGTGAATTATTATATTGGAAATGCCATGTACATTGGATGCAAATCGAAGGAGATTTGCACAAGTAGTAATTAATATAATCAATGCGATGGGAGTACTGAAATTGGAAATCCTTAATTTTATAGAATGTCTTCTTGCACGCAAACCTTGACTCTACGGGTAATTGAGTGTGAACAGTTTACACTCTTTGCCCATAGCCATTCAATTGAAGCGAATCGTTAATACTCGAGACATAGACAAAAAAAAGCGTTGCACGTTGAACTTGGTACAATATTAGCAATTCCGTTGCATTTGCAACTTTAATTTAAGCGTTGTTGCAACACCCAAACGTTCATTATTTAATTACTAAGAAGTATGGTATTTGCTCTTTTTTTTTACACGTTCGTTCTTGAAGTATTAACATGGAAATCCCTGTACTTTCTGCTACTTCATTGTTGTTTTATTTAATTAAGTGCTTATTTATGCTATACCAATAAAAATAAAATATATAAAAAAATATTTTTATATTCAAATGATAGTTGTTGTTTATCCTGTGCACTATGCAAGGTATTGCAATAATTGTATTTATTTATAATCTACAAACTTGATTATTATTTTCGGGCTTTCAGTCTATCAATATTTTACTATATTGTGTTAAATGTTATTATTGTTACATAAATATAAATTAATCGAAATGTTTAACTTTTGGGCAATATTCCATATAATTGATGAACATAGTCTACTTCAAGAGTGATACATTCACTCAGTGCTTCTCTAACATTTCCATACCTTTCTTGCAGAACGATTTATCTTTGGCCTCAAAATACGGCTTTCTCCTTTTGCTGTCCACTCTGCTAACGACTGATCTGACTCTTCATCCGTTGTTATATACTGCATGAAAAAATCCTTTTTATTTCGTTTAAACAGCTCCAAACAGAATCAATAACTAGTTGTTGTTTTTGGTCCACTTTGAGCCTGAACGAACAAAGCTTTCTCATGATCAAATTGTTATGCAAAATGGTGAATGCACTGCCTTCTGATATCATCAAGGTATCAACTATTTCACGCAATATCAATTTACGATCAGCCAAAACCATTTTGTGGACATTTTTTATGTTTTCTGCAACAATTACCGAATTTGGGCGACCAAAACATTTACCATCATTTGTGTCTGTACGACCACATTTAAAATCAGAAGCACTTCTCTACCATTTTACTCGAAAGAAAAGAGTCCCCATAACACTCATCAAACCATTACTTTGCTTGAACGATATTTTTTCCCATCAAAAAGTAATGTTTTATCAACACACGAAGTTCAGACTTTCACATTATTATGAAAATTACAAAAGTAGCGTGACTAGAACCACTGTAACTTGTGAACTAAACGTCAGATTGTCATGACATTTTGACAGGTGTCGTCTGAAGGTTGGTACTTTCTAAAAATCATATGGATTTTTCGATAGAAACTCCATGTATATGTCATCCTATTAACTTATTGATTGAGGTGTTAATATGAATGAACCCAATATATATAATATGAATTTAATATTTTTTTCCTTAATAACAAAATATAACAATAAGAGGAATATTTTCCCATTGGAAACCTTCTAAATTACCAAATATAATATGAATAAATATTAATTTTAACAATAATAATAAATAACTAAAAACGTTCTTATAATATTCAAATATATAAGGGAGATCAATGGTGTTATGCCTTTATATGCGGGTTAAAAATATAATAATTTTATTTTATAAGAATATCGCAGGCATGAGTTTAATGACTGTCGCATTTCTGTTTTTTCTTATATTATACAGCAATTTAAATATAATTTCAAATATATTAAAGAACCACACCATAGTTACATGGTAACAATTACATTTTCAATGAGAGCCGCAGATAACTGCACAAAGAGCCGCATTTGCCCACCCCTGGCATATACTGTCTCACAATTAATTTCACCAAATTTCATTATTTCATTAGTCCATCATTTGTTACCTTCCATGTATAATTAATCACGATGAAATCTTGTTTAAATTGTCTTCGTTGCATAACTAATTAGGAAATTCAAGTCATGTACTTGATCTTTAGTACACCACTTCTTAGCAAACTGTTCTGGATTGCAAATTCAATCTCCGGTTTTTACAACACGTTCTAATCTAAAATCTATATTTTCTTAATTTGTAAATATTGTTACTAACCAAATAAAGAAAACAAAATATGGAGAAAATAATACTCTTTCAACGATTTCTTTTTTTCAAATAAATTATTTTATTTTAAATCACACATATAGATTTTATAAAAAAAATTTAAAGATTTTTTTATTTCTAATTAGTGTAGTTTATACAATAATCATTATTTTATCATCTATGATCATTAACATTAATATGTAACGTAATATTTTACTGTGTAATGTATCTTAATTGCTGAACTTTACATGCTATCAGGTATAAGCAACTATATTTGAAGTTATTATGAACATTTTCTTAAATGCATGAATATTTAATTCTCCATTTACACGAAATTGTACTAACTTGGTGTACTAACGAAATTTAAACCAAACTTTATTTTTTACTTGCTTATATATTTGTATATTTATTTCATAATAACTAGATTCCATTATGCAATAATATGTGAATTTATTATTTTGCCAAAAAAATTCATTCTAAATTTTAAATTATTTTTTCTAAGCCTCAGGCAATATTCTTATATAATATATATATAATATTAAAATTCGAAAGTAACAAAACCTTGATTTTGGTCACACTCTAACTAAATTTCAATTAATTATTTTGACTAAAGTATTATTTATTTAAATTTATAAATAATTTTAGATTTATTGACTTACGTTGTTATTAAATGGTGCTGAAAGGGACCATCAATTATTTCTTTGCAATGTATACAAAATATTGAATTAAAGATAAAAGTGAAGAAAAATAAATAAAAACAGTGTATAAACATAGGTTATTTACGATTTAAGCTGTGAGTTGAAGTCGAATTTACTAGACGACTTCTCTTGCGCTTTCTGCAATTAAGCTATCGATATTGCCAGAAGTCCTGTGAAACAGAAGTATAAAGGATTCGATCTGTTTGTTTTGAGCTTGTACAAAGTGCCGTGGGCAGTCTGGAAAATTGAGCTCGATAACTTAAATAAATTCCGAGTTTTTCTATTTAAAGAACAACGAAAAAAAGCTTTGAAATATAAATATAAACATTTCATCGCTTAGATTGCAATAGTTTACACTTTTCAAGTAATTCCATTGTTTAATTATCATTTATTTCTTAATGAGATTTCTTTAAACGGCGAACGTGGAAATAGAAATTTACAAAATATTTCCTTGGTAGAAGAGAATTCGCTTTTAAAATTGGCTGGAAAAACTTCTTTTTAAATTGCTAAGTAAAAGAGTGTTATTCCTCTTAACCTCTAACCATTATATGCAAAAGTTTTGTCTCTGTCTCAACTGAAAGTAGATTACGCAGTTTCTTCTTCTTTTTTTTTGTATTTTTAGAGAAGGGTGAGGAAATTTAAATAATTACTTTCTAGAAGTTTTCATTTGGTTTTATCTTTATTCTTTTCGGCTTTTAACTTATGTCTTTGTTTTATTTTATATCACCTAATTAAAGTTATATTTAACATGTTTATATTTTATGTGTTTATATTTTAGTGTGTCATATGGAATAAAAAAATGAGCGAATGAAAATAATTCAATAATGTAATGTAATCAACCAATAATATATCTTGTTTCTATAAATGTTATATAATAAAAATAATACTATTAAAACCATTAAATAGCTTATAACTCATATGCAAGGTCAGTTCCTAATAAATCAATACCTCGGAAAGTGCCAACACCCCGGACTGTTTGAAACCATACTAATCAAGGACTTTAAAACCGGACTAAGTGAGGTATTGCTATAATTAATTTATATTTAAAAAAATACATAAAAATGCATGGTGTGAGGTTATCATTAATAAAAAAAAATGTTTATTATTAAAGCAAATATTTAATTGCGGTTTGTAAATGGTAGCTCAATTAAATGTGGAAACCTACAAAAAATGAATCATTCCTAGCGTAACACTTTTCTATTAATTAACACAGTTTTGCAACAGTAGCTGTTTATGATTTCAGCATGAAGAAAATGGGAATGGTCGAGTCATTTTCTATTTGCACACTTTTATAAAGAAAATTAACTATTTGTACTGATACACAATATTTATTTCTTTTGTAATTATTACGTAATATATACTTGAAAAAATAATAATTGCTAATGTGATTTGAAATATTACTACTAAATGTTGCAGATCAATAATTTATTATTATAATTGTGTAAATTTAATGACACTTTTATATAATTAAAAAATATGTATAAAATATAAATATTGAAGTGTTTTCTTTAATTATTTCCAAAATGTTCCAAATTATTTTTTTTTAATATTTTAATATTTAGTTGTACAATAACTTTTTTAAATGAAAATATGAAATCTGAACATAATTATTATTTTCTTTCATAAAATACCCACTATTACTTTTTTATAAAGAAAATGTATTATAATTTCGAAAATAATTTATAAAATAGCCATTGTAGTAGAATTAAATGAAGAAAATGTTACATTTTATCGTTACATATCTAGAAATCTATTCAAGTTTCGTAATATCCCGTTTAGCGTCGTAATTTATATTTTTAATATAATAGGTAGTTTTCCTTGAAAATATTGCACAGACCTGCAAATGTGTTTATAACATAATGGAGATTAATATTACCAGACAATTGTCAAATTGAAAACTCTTTCAATATTTTCTCTTTATCATAGAAAGTTACGTAGAACTAATGCACCTATATGTAATAAATTACTATTCAATTTTCTCCTAATTAGATTTCTCTTCAAAATGAAATGGAAATAACGTAATTAAAAGTAAGTATTTTGTTTAGTTTTACTTATTTTCTACATTTAAATTTGTTACGTTAAATTTGCATGTCTCGGTTTCATGCAAATTTTAGAATTTAAAGTCTACTATTTATTAGTTTTGTGGAGGAAATAACCTAGTTTTATAACCCAAATGTATATTCTCTCATTTTAATTTATAAATAAATTGTTATTTTCTTTTCATTTATGTTTTGGATAATAATTTATTTCTATTTTTACAGATATAAATTTTATTTTAATAATTAGACTATTTTTTCCGTCTGTCTGTCAAATAAAAGTCAAAGTATAGTAATTTAAAACGAGATAATTAAGAAAATACTTGATGATATAAAAAGAAAAAATTAAACGATCAGTAATGCAAAAATAATTTTGTTACCTACTTTTTTTAGAATTTATTTTTACTTTACCAGGCGGATGGATTGAATACGCAATTTGATAATTATTATTTTGTTAATTCTAGTAATTATTATCAAACATTCTAATTAGATATACTGGCTATATTTTCGGATAATGGACTATTTACCTAACTCCATTAATTATTTACGTGTATATTATTATAATTTTAATTTATAACTTAGATTTACTTTTTTTTTTCTATTTATAAAATCAAGTAATATTTTTTTAATTCTTTTTCATTTAAATGTAGAAAAGAATGTAACATCTATTGTAAATTACAATGAAATTGTATGATTTAATTAATCATTAAAATCATTTTGTATAGTACAGAAAAAACGCCGATTATTCGGGTCTCAATTAACCGTGGTCGTGGCTGTCTTTATGTTTAACTTTTATAAGCAAAAAATAAAAGTATCAGGAAATCTACCGTTTAGTAAATAATTTTACAAGGAAAACATTAAAAAAAATACAGATTACCTTTTAAAATGATTAAAAATGTGTTGTTTAAATATTAAGTTGTGAAAGCAAATAAAAGCAATGTTTGTATTAACCGTATTTTTCAATTATGCGTGCTTCTACGTTTCTGAATTACCACGACGGATAATCGACTGTATTTGGAATCATAAAATTGAAAAAGTAATCTTCCAATAAAAAATTGCATTATTTTATAGTAATCTAAATAAAATAAATAAATACATTTGGGCGGAAAATCCTTGGCCGATAGGCAAAATTGTGGCCAATAAATATATTTAAATAAACAAATACAATAAATTATACAATAAAAAATAAACTTTAATTAAATACGTAATATTGTTGTGTTATTGGTTTCTATTTACATTTATATTATTAGATTTTTTTTTTGTTATTGAGGTTTTGTAATAAGAAAATTTATTTGATTCTCTGAATGGGCATTAAGAACAGGCGGTGCACACAGCCTTGGTAACCAATTGTGTTGGAATTTCGACCACAAATCAGCGATAAATAAATAAAAGCAATGGATATTATCGATGCAATAACATTAGTTACGATAATAAATTGCTTTTGTGCTGTCAGAACGGTGGCGGAAAGCGTGCAATAAAATGTTTATTAACGATTCGCTGGATCTATTAATTTAGGTAGAAAGCCTTGCATCCCGGAGGACGGATTTTCTCACCTGTCTGTCAGCAGCGGAAGGCAGGAGTAGCTGCGACACCCTTTGGGTCGGAGGTGCCGGGATGTATTGTTGTTGAGACAGTTGATGGTGTGGGGCGCCCTCGTACAGCGGTGTCGGACCCTGGGGAATGGGGGGCACACTTATGTACTGAGGCTGATTTTGCACTTGCTGCAGATACTGCTGATAGTATTGGGGTGGTGGTTGGGTTGCACCCCGGACCCCTGAAAACACGCATGCCGCCGCAGCTACAACGATTAAAGCACCCGCAAACATCTTGATCGATAAAGATTCTGATGCATCCAGATGCACGTCTCGTTGCATTTATACTCTCGCCATTCCTCCACCTCTTTCTCCACCTCCTCCAGAGTGCTCCAACTTTCATAGGCAGAGAAAGGAGCATGTTCATGATGCATGCATGCATCACGGGTCAATAAATGCAATCCAGAGCTCGATTTGTGCGCGATTTACGCGCGAAACGGACGGCTACAGCTCGTTCCAGGTGGAAACGGAAATATTAATTAAAGGTAGAACAAATACGCCCGTTCTACGGCAAACAGATATAAATCCGATTACGTTCCGTTCCTATGCGGAAACCTTTAATATCGGCCTCTCTTTTCTGTATCTGCCTTTCAGTTTACGTGCGTTCATATATATATATATATATCTATATCTTTGGGTAAACAAAGTTGAGACCCCTTTTGTGATTTTTCAGCATCATTTCTCGAAAGCGTTGCTTAAAAGGCAAACCGTGTTACGCAAACGGTCGAATCTCGAAGATCGCATCAACTACATTTACTTTAAAACAAAGAAAATTTTCCACGAAAACTCCCCCAAGTCATCAGACACTTTGCCCAAACTTCTTCCTTTTTTATTACCAACTGTATATCAATTTTCTATGCGCATCCTCAACTAAACAAAATTAAATCATCTTTTATTAATAGATATCCCATATATCACTTATTTATTTTATATGGATTTATACGTGATCTCTAGAACTCTCAATTATCAAATTTATTGAAAGACTTCATTTAATTGCATTTTGTATTTGAAATGAAAATAGAATAGAATAATAATTTATAGTCCAGAATATAATATAAATAAACTTTAATGTAAAAATATATAAAGAATATAAATCATTAACAAGATAATACGAATTCTGCCTAATAACAATAATATTAATTGTAAAAATACAAAAAAACATAATTTAACATTTCCATACAATAATGCAACAAAAAATCAACTTCTATAGAAGGCTATTGACCATAGGTCTTTCTGCCCAGAATTCTGCCTTTTTAATTTATAAAACTATGTATTTGTTACCTATGGAAGAATTAATATTGCCATAAATTATTTATACAACTTGTCACGTGGACGAACCAGATTTTTCTTTGCTTCTAATCACTGTACAATATCATTTGCATCGACTATCCTCTAATTGGTATTCAAAGTATGTCCTGCAAGAGTATTTGTTTTCATTATATAACTTTATAATAATATAATTATAATTTATTCTTTTATACTAAAGTTTTAGACTATGCGCTTTTTAATTTATATTTATTATTAATATTTTTCTTAAAATACACAAAAGTAGAATAAGTTACATAATGATTACACAGCGCGAAAAGTTTGAAGAAAATATATGAACACATTAACGAATTTGCAACCAAAATAAGTAAAAATATAATAATTCAAGTATTTTTAAATGTATAAGATTATTATAAATATACACAAAATCAGCATCAATTTACATTTATTTGTATTTGTGACACGATTTTTTTTTATCACAGAATAGCTAAATTTTGTGACATAAATATTATTACATTAAGAATTTTTCCTTCCTTTCTCTCATTATTAAAATAATTTATTATAACAAGGTTATTCGGTATTAATTTACCATCTTGTTTAAAAAAATCTTGTAAATTTGTCCTCATCTATAACACTAATTTACTTTTACTCTTAAAGGAAAAAATAAACAAAAATAAATCCGAAGTGTGTTAAATTAAATATGCATGTCGATGTTTCGCAGTCTTGCATAATTAATGTCCTATCATTTTCGGAGCAATTATTGATGATGGAGGTAACATAAAATTATATAAGTAGAAAGTTTTATATTAGTTTAATTTAAAATTAGATCAAATATTTAAAACAAAAATGTAGGAAACCAGATAAACTACAAATTTACTTATTGCTAATTTTTATTAGCGCAATTTCATATTTTATTTGACTGACAAAAAAAAAAGTTACAAAAACATTCGAAAATAATAAACTATATTTATTTCAGGGACGACTAATAGTAAATAGGTAAGTCGCCCTACGCACGATTTAGTGGGCGCCGGTTCGAATCCTGGTCAAATCCAGGCCCTTTGTGAGCCCTCTCGGTGCTTGTAGTAATAGGACAGTCAAATTAATGAGGTTCAGTATATGAACCTTCAGCCAAGTCGATGGACAATGACAGTGTTAAAGATAGCAGCAGATTCATAGTCAAAGGAAATAGTGGAATCTAATCATCATAATGGTAACTATCCACCGGGAAAGATTATCCATTAATATCAACCGCAATCTTAAATTTACTCAATGTTCACATTCATGAACAGTTTTTTAATAAAATTATACAACATAAAAAAAATATTTATTGCAAAAAGTATGCAATTTTTTTTATTTATTTTTTATTTGTAAAAATCTAATTGGATTTAATAAGAATAATAATATTTATTGTAACCATAAACACCAAACAACAAACTGAATACAATAATATAATAACAAAATATAAAAAAAAAACAAATTTCACTGCTGCCAAGTGCTATTTTTGATTGAATTGAAGTTATTAACAAGATATAATAGTAAAAACTTCTATACTATATTTTATTGTAACTAACAAAGTTATATCAGTTTAAAGTAATAATTCAATGAATTTCCGACATATGGTTATTTTATTTTAATATTATATGATACATCTGGTACATGTCATTTTCTCTGCTTTCCGAAAATATGCATATATGAATGAATGTGTGTAGAAACTCACTTTTACTTTATGAGCCTGGAATCCGCAAGATTAGTTGGCGTGTTGTTATTGTAGTTATAAACTTGCACCTGTCACTGCAGTAAACTCTATGCAAGCGCACTGCTGAAATTCCGAGAGAACTCAGACGACAAGCATTAATTTTACCCAGAATTTAAGTAGTTACATCACTAAATCCTCCAACAATTATAATATTAAAATTTCTTGATGCATTATATTATAGCACTGTAAAATGTTATTATTTGTATTAAAATAAATTATATAAGTTTTTTTTCTATTGTTTATACAAGATATATGCATACAATAAATGTAAGATAATGCTGTTGTATCCATATTAAACGTGAATTTTGACATTTATATTTGTAAGACAATTATATATTTGATTTTCAAGGAACAGTGAAACTAGTTGACAGATATACATATATTTATATAATATGAGCAGCAGCCTGTACATAAGAACTGCTAAAGTTTCTTTTTTTTTGCCTTTCTTTTTTATAAGTTTAAGTTACAAATAATTCTACGCCTTAAAAGTTTTTCATCATATTTTTCGTTACTTTTAATGTTAAAGCCCATCCAATACTACATCTAATAAGCCATTATTTGTATATAGTTGGGATTGCTGACATACATTTAGTACCTATGTCATGGGGCCGCAATAAGGTAGTTGTGGGCCCTCTGCACCAATTATGTCAGTGTTTCTCAGCGTGGGTCCCACGCCCAACAGGGGTGCAATTTAAAAATGGACACATCTAGATTTTAACTGTATGGCATATTATGTATATGTTACATAGGAGACATTATAATTTTAGAAAGGTATTGGTGAGGCATGGCACATAAAAGGTTGGGAACCACTAAGTTAAATAGATTTAAATAACTTTCATGGCTAAAATAATATATAAGTATTCTAATTCAACTATTTTATGTAGACACCCAATTTGGCACAAATGGATTAGACGATTCTGGCTGTGGATACAATATAATATCGATTTGGAAACAATACTTCTTTTCTATGGTACAGGCTTTATGTAATTGATGTAAAAATGTATGCGGTAGCGTGCTAAAAAGGTCTTGTTTCAACATAGAAAATCACTTAGGCTGTAAATCGGGGCTTCATTTATCCCTAGACAGCGGTTTTGGTGGCCGCGTTTTCACTAAGTTCGCTATTTAGATTCCCGACCCAAACAACTTATTGCGGCCTATCCTCCTTCTCCGCCTTTTTTTTCCTCATCCTGATTTCCCCGGAGGACTACTCGCCAGCATTACCTCTCTTAAACGCGGATTAAAATTATATTTTTTCCAATCCGAACACGCACACCAATTCCATATTTCTTACACTAAACAAAAAAATAAGACTACTTTTCAGTTATTTATTTATTAGTTTATTTTATTTATTAAAAATACAGAAATACCTTATCGTGTGTGGCTTCAATTAGTCCAGATTTACTACAGTTAGATTTGAAAATTTTAAAACAAATTAAATTTTATGAGCAAAATAAAAATAAATTCCACAAATGAGTACACTAAATTAAATGATCGACTTTTTTGCACTTTTACAGACAAGTCTCTGTTTGAGCTGTGGTTTTAAAGTATTCAATTAGTTCAGTTTCAAACCTATTCAACAGTTATACAATTGATTAGAATAACTTAAAAATAAAAATAAAACAAATCTCGCAAATTTTATAAAATGTCAACAATATTATATTAATAATCAAAAATATACATTTATATTTATCTTTCTTTAATAATAAAATAATCATAATAATAATTTAGTTTATATTAATATTGTAGAGGACGTTATATGTAATGCAGTTTGGAATAATTCCAACCACTGTTGAATTGCGTTACAACTTCCAAAATACGTGTCATGGAGTTAGATAACTGTATTTGAGGTATTATATGGATCATGCGTTGGTGTGTTTTTGTACGAAACTACAATAACTTTGTTATAATTGCACTTTATATCAAAAAAAAACATCTAATATAATAATTAAAATATATAAAAAGTTTTTTAATTAAAAATACATGATGTGAACAATAATTATTTCAGCATATTTATACCTATATATAATCAATAATTAAATAATTACAACTAGATTTTAATACAATTAAGAATAAACTAATATACGTGTTAAAATAAAATTTATTAATATAATATATAGTAAAGCATAGGTAAATGGCGTAAGACTAACAGTGGTAAATTACCCCAAATGGGGTAAAGTGTTTTCTTGAGGGTAGTAATAACGTTCAGCAATTAAAATA